GACATGATTTGCATTGTAGAAATTGAGTAGAAAGTATATTTAGGTTTTAGATTTATCCAAATTTATCAAAGGTAGTTTTATCCTCAATTTTAGTTGTATATCGATGTGTTTGGGTTTTTTTTCCCCCATCATCTTGACAGAAAATACAGTCTTTATTTCAACTGCAGTCTTTTAGTTTACCTGTCTGACCTCATTCCTTCACCATGCCCAGACAGAATCCAGGAACCTCAGAGTCTCTTCTTCAGGTTCAGAGTTTAGTTACCTACTTCCACAACATGCTCCATACAATTAGCATCGAAACATCACATTTCCTATACATTAGCATCATGATCATGCGTCCGTTTGTTTTACCCAAATAACTGACGTCCACAGATAGCATTCTTGTAATGCTCCTCTCTGCTCTGTTTGACATTAGGCACCTGGTTTTCCATTCTATGTGGATCCAAAGAGTTTGGTTTCATCAAGTAAAACCAGGGAGGAAAAACAGAGATGAAATCGAGAGATTTATGACCGTGGAGGAGAGTTGCACATAACAGCAAAGCTGCAAAACAAGAAGAACAACCCGGAGCAATAGAAACTGAGTCGCCCTTTGTTTCCAGACAGCAGTGAGTAAAAGAGCTGTTTGGTGTGGGTTTATTCTCTCAGCAATGAAAGTGTGCCATTACTACAACCCATCCACGCTTCCAAACTATGAGCTGCAGCCCACACTGCCTATCAGACCTCATACCAGGAATATTTGCTGATGATGAGAGAACTGAGGCCCTCTGCCAATGTTCATGGTGTACAATGAAGGGTGCATTTTTTTCAATGTTACACATCTTAATGCTAACATTTTACACTTCACTGAGTCTAAACTAACTTGAGCTATATGTCTTTCTTAAACCACTGGGTTTATTATGTCCATTCACCCATTGTTGCTTTAACAGCTTAAGCTCTTCTCAGAGGGCCTCTCACGTGGTTAAGGAGAATGTTTATGGGTAGATTTTGACCACCATTATTGCCATTACTGGCATCTGATAATGATGCCCCATGAGGGACAACCTTTGAAGAAACAAGCCAATGGGAGGAGACCCCAGGAAAGACTGAGAATTAGTTGGAGGCTGTGTATTACTATATATCCCTTGTGAGGAGAGAGAAAACCTTGGAATCCCCAAGAATTGCATAAGAAAGGGAAACAAACCTCCAACAAACATTAAAAGCTAAATGAATAAATCTTATAACATTTTTTGGCTGGCTTACATAACCTTCAGGTGTCTGCAAGAAATGAAAATGGATATTTTCTTTCAGCATTATTTTCAAGTAAAATCTGTCAAAAGTCAAGAAAAAAATGGCATCAAGAGAAGGAAAATATGAGTTTTATTGAACGGTGTGGTAAAGGTCTAGAACTAATATATGAGACAAAATCTGTGGATCACCTGAAGTTCTCTGTGAAGGGAATGCTCTCTTCATGCCTGTGTTGGTTGCCAATAAACACTGGACATTAAATCAATGTTTGCTCAGACGGTGCGTTCAGTAACGTGTGTTCATCTATTTGCATATATTTGACGTAGAAGAGAAGACGATATGGGAAATGTTGAGATATCCTTGATCAAACCTCAGATACTGGCTGAGCTTCAGCAGGATTGTCTGAACAAAATGGTCCAGGAAGGCTTTGAAGAGTCCAACATCCAGTCTGGGAACTGTTAGATCTATTTAATATTGGAGTGAAACGGAACGCATTGCTAAATTATCCTTTAATATGGGGAGTATGATGCAGTGATGAGACCAGCAGTCCCTAATACCGCTGTTACATGATCAAAGGACACTGGATATCTCGAGTCTAAATAAAGTAGAACAGTGATTTTGAAAGTACAATTTATATGCAATAACTAGCACAGCCCTCCTATCCATTATAAAAGGTTGGAGACTTTCTGTGGTGGAATGAGACATTCCTATGAGTTTAGAGGAACACCAGCTGAATATATCATCAGATCCTGTCAGCTTTTCCATTAACCCACTGATTTTTTCAGTCTTTTTTGTTTTGTCCCCCCTCCCAGCCACCCTTTTTGGTCAAGTCAAGCACTCAGACTGGGTTTGAGGCAGGCTAAAAAAATGTCTGAATCTAGAGGATGTAAAATTACTATTTCAATGTTTCCTAAATTTCCGAAATATTTAATGTTGTTTAAACCGTATCTGGATTCAACTGGTTGGCTAAACAACAGCATTGAACCAAAGCTACAATATTTCAGTTTCCCCTAAATGAAAGTAAATCCTAAACATTTTTCTCTTCCGACAGGGTGTTGGGCTCAAACATATGGAGCAGTCTCAGGACACGTTCTTCTGCTGGATTCTCTGCGTTATCCATTATGAAAATTCATAATTATTTTTGTTGCTATATCTCGATCCCTTTCATTTTCTATATCCGCCATGTTGGCTAGCCAATATAATGGAGTGACGTCACATTTCCGACCTTTGAATAGGCAAAGAAAGCAAATTCCCCACCCCAAAAAAAGTGTTTTTCTTTTAAAAGAAATGCATTATTTCTAATCTTTAGTATATAAATACCATAAGACTTTAGTATGAATAAAGCATGAAAAAACAATACAAGATCCAAATAGTACAGAGTGTTGCTAATAAATGTCAGAATTATTTTTGTTATTGAAAACTGCTACCTGAAAACACTCTTCCCAGGATAACTGGGTCAAAACTTTGAATTAAATGATAAATCCCATCTTTAGGTTTCTAAGTCACTAATATCACAAAAAAGAAAGATGTCCAACAGTCTGTTCAAATATTTATTTTAAAATGATTACTGACTTAAGGGTCTAAAAAGAAATGACATGATCAGATTTTCCTATTTGCTTTGACAAACATGTGACATCAGATCTTGATTGATTTGGTGTAGCTTTGCAATCTAGAAAGGCCAAATTAAAAACTACAGTCTTAGCTTAAAGATCTGAGCAGACTTTAGCTCTGTGTGGAAGTGGCCTGAGGATTCCTGGATGACTCTCAGACAGCTCCTAATCTCCAAGGTCAGTGTGACAGAGTTTAGGCAGATAAAATAACTTGTGCGAGGACGGTGACACAGTGACAAAAACCCAGAGTCTCAGAAGGCTAAAGTTCACTGCTGACTTGCCTTAAGTCAGTCAAACCAAAAACATGTTTGTTTTCCAATAAAAGAGGTAAACACTGAGCTCTATTGTGTTTCATCAAACACTTTGCAGCAGTTTAAGCCACACCTAGTGAAATGCTTTAGTGGACATTTCGCTCCCCTACTATGGTTGTTATTGCTCAGCATCACGTTTCTCAAGGCCTCTGAGAGAAAGGATGTGTTGATGGTGGGGGGGAATTGTCTGCCATAATCTTAGATAACTTAAAGATAACAGCAAAATAGAGGCATCAGAATCTGTTGTTTCGATACCTGGGAAGCAATGTGTCCTAAATTAAGCTGCAACACAACAGCATATTCTACTGCAATAACAAAGACTGAAGCATTATTGGCATTTTTGTGCGTTTATCCTCAGATTAATTCAAAGAAAGACATATTCAACAATAAAACTAATCAAAAAATTGTATGGCTGGGTAATATAACAGCATCAGTATATAAGAAGATAGACACATGGTCAATACTAATAGAATATACAACAAATGGAAAAAAAATAAAAATATTTTTAACCAGCTTTCAAGAAGAAACTCCACTCCTCTAAACACTGCTGATCATTTATGCACACGCCCAACACTAATTAACATTCCTGCATTCTCAGCATGCAAAGAACTGGTAATATTGGCTTGTGGGGCCATACCATTGGTTATTACACAGAAACAAAAAGAGAAAAAAAACTGGCAGATTCAGAAGGGAAGGCGCACGTCCTGTCTGATCACTCCTTGTCAATTTTAATATGATGACCGTACATCAGAATGCAGGTAAGACATGACAAGAATGAGGCACAAAGAGTCTTGAAAGAGTCTCCTAACAGTTTCAAAAGCTCTCTGGCTTTCAGTAACGTTTCTAACAAGTGAACCCTTGTTCTTCTTTTAATGAGACTCAGGCCATGGATGTTACTGATTGAACATCTTGATAGAAGACTCAGACGGCCGGTAATGTTTTGCTCCTCACCGTCATGGACATATGGAGGCCAAGGCACATTTTATTAGGGCATGTGCAACGCTGGAGACATGCTTTTTCTCATGGAGGGAAAAATAACATAAGAATCATGAGCTTTAAAAAAAAATTTCGTACTGTAGTCCATAAAAGGTAAAACAATACCTCTAAACATTTAAAAATTTTATACAGACGTCTCCACACTGCAAAAGCATGAGCTAGCTTACATATTTATTTTAACTTTAAATGATGAAACATGGCGGTGGCAGCATCACACTGTGGGAATCCTTATCTTTTTAGCAGGGAGAGAAAATGAGACGAGACCTGGACACCAAAGATAATTCATATTATGTCAGTCTGGACTGATCTCTGATGAAACAATTGGAGAAAATCATAAAGAAAAGAAAGCAGAGCATATAAGGCGGGAAAGAAGACGATAGAGAATGACGGCTTTATGGCACTTAAACGAAAGAGGCATCCACATGATGCTTTAAACGTCAGAAAACACCTTTTGTACTAATTAAAGAAATATTTAGGAGTAACAGATCAAATGGCTCAGGTTTCACCTAAATTTAACAAGCAATCTCACATTAACCACTTGGTTCTAAATTGGCTGAAAGACAAAACAAATAATTGAGATTACTGAGATCCTAAAGTACGATTCAGGTATTGTTCTAAAATATGCAGGAATGTTAACTGCTGAAAAAGGAAACTGTTGATTATATCTCTCTGTTGGACTGGACATACCTGTGCTTGAACTTAAAGGTCCTATTTTTATCATTTATAAAGAATTACTTGATGCCATCTGGAGTGAGATAAAAAAGTAAAAATATGTAAGATACTTAGAAAACAACCAGGCACCACAGAGATTTTAAACCTGATCAGGAAGTTTGAAGTATCTGGTAGAATGAGGACTCACCCATGGTGGCAGCTCAGCTGTTGGTAGACTCTGCTTCACGACTTTATCCTGTTGATCCAGGAAAGCCAAAGCCCGGTTTATCCTGTAGTCCTTACTGCCATGGTTCTTCCTCCAGTAAAAAAGCATGGCGAGTCCGATCAGAACCCAGCTAAAGCTGAACTCAAAATATCCCAGCACGTAGATGGGAAAGATGATGGCAAAAGTTTTGGCAAATCGAATCCACATTTGAGTGACGTCGGTCAGAGAAGACGGCTGCGCTTCTTCCAGCTCCTCCTTAGATGATGGCGTGCTCAGTTGTGGCGGCGCCTGGTTGCTGCTGGGCACTGGGACCGGTCCATTCGCCCTGTCGCCCGGTCCCGCCGTTCCTTCCATCCTGTTGCTCATTTCCTCACTGGAAAGACATTTTTGACAGTGATTTATAAGGAGTGATTACAGAGATCATCCTTCAACATTGGAGCACCTCTAGGGTGGTGACAGCACTTTGGCACACTATAGAGGCCGACAGATTCTGAATGGGCTGGTGCAAAGCGGCTGGAGGAGCAGGCAACAAGCTAAACAGCTACAAGCAAATGGAAGCTGAAGCCACAATTGCATCATATTAATAAAAGAAGTGATCAGTCTGAGTCAAAACATCCTGATTTCTGAGCTACGTCAGAAATTTTTAATATTATTTTCACCTGCCAGTTTACCATTAATCCCTCATCAGTGCAGCTTCAGTGCAACATTTACCATTCTCATTTATACTGTTATAGACGACAACAGTATATATGCTTTTTTGCAATTCAATGAATATGAAATTTCAAAGGAATCCAGGTGTAACTCATCTGCGATGGCATAAAATCCTTCTTTTATAAGGTGTTCAGGAAGTAGCCATGCAGGAAAGATAATGAATTCATTCATAAACTCACTGGAAAACTTGATGGAAAGCTCCACAGCATGCACTTTTCCCGAGCTGCTCAGCTTCCTCGACAGTGTACATGAAGCTGCCAGTTGCGTAATATTGCATGGCCATACAAAGGATCTGTGATACAGTGAGGGCCACACTGCTGCGGGTCACACAGCCAACACACCGTTCCAGGATCTGGCATATAGTACAACCAGTAGTCTAGTTGTAAAAAAAAAAAAATAAAAAAAAAGGAAGGGGGATGGGGGATTTTTATCTTTTTTGGAAGCATACATAGCCTAACTAATATAGTCTAATAACCTAAAGCAATATGCATGGTATGTCTGTTACATGTCAGGTACACCGGTCATTGACCTTTACCAAAGCACCTTACTGTAGAACTGCAGTCCGTCCCTGGACTGGCAACATGGTTAGGGACAAATGGAGAGAACAAATTTCTCACTGGGAGCAGCTTTATAGTCATGGTAGACCATTTCTTTGATTTTATTTATTTTGCACATGCAACTCATTAAGTCCACAGCCTGTCAAATGTTGAAAGGGCAATATTCCAAAAAAAGAAAATTAAAAATACTGAAGCTTTTACAATTCAAAATGGCAAGGAGCGTTGAGTTTGAGGTTTTATAGAGTAGCCCAACAAAGCCTTGTTTTTGCTTTGAAAACATGCAAATTGGATCAGACGAAGGGGTCCACCCATTTGGAATGGGGGTCGTTTTACTTATTTTTTTTAGCGTGCAATGCCCCAGACCGGTCTAAGTGTCTGAAAGGGGGGTCGTTAAAGGGATTTGTTGGCTTTTCTGAACAGCTGAGGTCCTCCGCTCTCCTGTACAGAGGGTGGGGCTGCGACCACCTTCACCAGCAAAGGGCAATATTATTGCCATTACTGTTCATGTATAGTAGACATTTTACACATTCAATAATAAAATGTCACAGGGGATGGTATGGGGGGGTGGTCATTTAAGTAGGGGGAGGATTTTAAAGATTTTTTTAAGAAGGAGGATGCCAGCACCCCCCAACCCCTCATCATCATCCAAAGGATCTATCAATTTGTGCTCTAAATTAATATTGTTTTTTATTCAGCTTTAAATGTCAATTATACAATAAAGAAGTGAATGCCAGGAGTGTACACAGTAAAATTCAGAGAGTCAAATTGTCTGTGTCAGAATCGGTTAACCCTGCAAGAGTCATTCCAACAACAGTGAGTGTAAAATGTATTGTTGTACATAAATTTTATGTATTGCAGTGTTGCTGAAAATATTCAATAGAAAAGAGTTGAAATCGGTTTAGTAAGGACCATTGATAGTGTAATCTATTAAGCGTTTAAAAGTTCACTCTTTCAGAGTTATGGTGAAAATTACTCTGAAAAGCTCCGCCCTCATGCTCCAAACATCTAAAAATTTCTCTGCACCATTTATCTGCTTCTCCACGCTAGAAAAAATGAGGTAAGTGCATCAATTTTAACGTTTTTTCCCCTCAGAATTTCATCTGGAATAAGTCAGAAAACCTTACTAAAATAACTGTGTTTACAATATAGATTATATATTTTATAAATATATACATTTTTAATTTCCTTTTTCTGTACATGTATTAAATTATTTAATACATGTACAGAAAAAGGACGAGTTGGTAGCTATAAACTGCAATCTATTCTTATAAATCCAAATGTATGTGGAATGTTTTCATCTGACCATATTTCAAAGGTTGGTTTGTATCTAGATTTAAAAGATGGTCTAAATATGAAAAATCCTCCTCTTTTTTCCCACAAGGAGAAAAATGCAAACGTTTTTTTTTCTATGCCAAGTTTTTATTGGCATTTTGTTGATGTGCTGAAATTAATAAATTGATAAGACATGGATATTGAGGGTTGTTTTTCCTCAAAGTTCTTATTAAGTTTTGGCTGTACACCTTGAGATAAATAAAATTGTACTTTAACGCCAAGAGTCAATTTCAACACTGAGCCAGGTTACATATAGTCCTGTCCTGTACAGTGTTAAACTTACACTGATCTTGGTGTCAGAATTTTAGGGTTAATCTTATTAAGTGTTACTCTAACACCACTCATTTTACTGTGTATAAGGACATTATACAACAGAAAACAAATCAATTATATTAAAAGGTTGCTATGTATGAAATAAAAAATAAATAAATAGAAAATTATTGATTTTTTTTTAAGGATATAATGTTTTTTCATCAGATTTTTGGTCATCTTCTTTTATTGTGATGGTGTTTTGTTTATGTTATTTTTCCCTCGGGAAATCGGGTCTTTCATCTAAGGGTACGTCATTATTTCCAGAGCAGCTGATTGGCTGCTGCAGCAGGTTTACCAATCAGAGCAGGTTACCATGGCGACGAGCCTCGCTAGGAATGAATCCAGCTTCAGAATTAAACCTGAAGTTATCTCGCTAACCCAGTAACCCTGCTTCATGCTACAGATTTATAATAAGCCCAACAGGAAGAACCGGAGTCAAACTGCCTCCAACATTCAGACCAAATAATTAAAATAATTCAGTCTGATCTGCTATGGTGTTTACAACAGCCAGCTGGTCTTTCAACTGAAAAACAAAGCAGTGTTTTTATCTTCTTCATATATATTTACTGTGAAATTTTCTGGTAGATATTCTCAGCAATTCAGGATATGAAATGCTGCATAGGAGACTATTTTGATAATAACAAAATTTACTGCCAGTGAACTTTATTAAGTAGAAAGAAACTATTAAAATGTCCAATATCTTTTGAAATATCCAAAACTAATATGAAATACATAAACAAAAGGCTCCTTTCAGTTAGTTCAGTCACAATATTTTCTCAGGCCAACTTAGATTCTCTGTTTTGCTTTCTAAAAAAAAGTTTATAATTAAAATCCTATTAATAATAACAACAATACACGTACTTGCATGTAAACTATGTGGCCATTGTTAAATTAGGTCTTAAACATATATTTATCTTTTTTTGTTTGTTTGTTTGTATAGTATTTGTTTTTAAAGTTGTCTCGCTTTATTTAATTTTTTTTGCTGTTACTGTTAAAGTCGTTATGAAAACAGATATTTAAGACTAATGCTTACTGTTTTGTTTAGTCATATCCAAGCCGAATAAAAGGATATGAAATATTTTATTACAATGTCTTCAAAAAAACACTTTTGATGCGTTTATATTCGATGTTTGGTGGAAAGTATCTTAACTTGAGCGGTTTTTGGACGGAGTCCTCCGTGACGACACAGAGTGACACGTATGAAGGGACTTCACCGATGTTACGTACAGTAAAAACAAAAAGGGGGAAAAACTACTTGTTCCTCCGCGCTGAAAGCAGAGCAAACAACCCACTCACCAGTATCCACCAGAGACCTTCGCTGTACCCAGAAGAAAAACAAGGGAAATTCAAGCAAGCGGCTGCTTCCTCTGCATGCCGACCAGCTAAACTCAGATAGTCCTCTTCTCTCTTCAGTTCATCCTCCAGTCTGTGAAGGAGAGCCGTCCGTCTCAGCAGATCTGCAGGAAACTGTCATCGCGAGAATACGGCTCACCGCGGGGAAGGAGGGAGCTTCAAACTGAAGCTCTAGGGCGCCATCTTGTGGCGGAAAAAACGGTCCAGATGTTAGAACCCATTAGATGGTTTTCACCGACGCCTTGAATACAAATGTAATTGTTAAGCTTATTTTTTAACAAAGGTGTAAAAAAAAAAAAAAAAAAAGAAAAAAGATCACAAATATGTATTTATCTAGACCCGAGGTCTTCAACAGGGGGTCCGCGACCCCTAGGGATCCACAGAGGTACTGCACGGGAGTCGTGAAAGTTTTGGTTGATTAGACTTTTTTATATTCACCCCGCAATTTTTCCCGCTAATTGAAATGTCTTTAAATAGACATTAACATGAATTTAACACGCTGTATTAAAGAGATAAATGGAGGCAGAAGATGTCTTTCAGTCATCAATGCACACATTCAGAGACACACAGGAGGTATTTCAAGCTGGGCAACGTTTCATTCACAACACCTGTCCCATCAACTAGGAATCAGAAGAATCAGAAATACTTTAATAATCCCAGGGGGAAATTATTTTCGTTACATTACACCATCTGTAATAGAGTGACTATAGGACCAGTTTGATATAACACTATTTCATACTATATATAATTAGGGGGTCCCCGCTCCATCTCGCCCTGGAAAACGTTGAAGACCCCTGATGTAGAAAAGTTAAAAGGTCATAGTATTTTGAAATCTGAAATTAGGTTATTTTTTTATACTGAATTTCATTTGAACTGAGTAAAAATTTGTGCTCAAACAAAAACAAATCTGTGACTTTGACATTATTTAGACATCATCCATCACCTTTAGTAAATATATTCTGATATTGCTCTTTATTGATCATTCATCCTATTTCTTTATTTATTATACCATTATTTATCATGTCAAAGTTGATTTGAATATAAAAAAAAACATAATGGTTGAGGTTTATTTTTTTGATACAAGCATTGCCAAACTCAGTGGTTAGTCAAGATACTGTAATGAAGTCATTCCCCCACTAGATGTCAGAAAAGTGCTTATTCACTGGAACGTCATAATCTGTGGCCTAATCTCTCTAAAAGCGCAGCTGAACAACTGATAATCACTTTATGAAATACTTCTTTTAAAAGCATTCTAAGCAAATCATTTTACTTCCTCTTCTGTGAACTTAACTGAGAACCACAAAGGAACAGAAACCTCATTAGTCCCTTCTTGAGCAGGATTCTATTGATTATGATTTTTTGTTTTGCAAAGTACTTTTATCATTATGTTGCAAAAAGTGTTAGTAGTATTCAATATAAAATCATCTGTAATAAATATAACAAGACAAAAGGGAGTAATTATCTCTGCATATGTACACCTAAAAAAGGCATAAACAGGAATTGTACAAGTTTGTTAATATTCATACTCATGCACTTATGTAAAGATTGTGTCAAACTTTAGGTAAAAAATAACTAAAGAAATAAAATACTAACTGACTAAAAGGCAAAATATGAACATTTAACATGATTTATAACGGGGGGAAATAAAAACAAACTGTAGTTTAAATTGGTGAAGAGCTAATACCTATGCTTTTAATCTGCAGGTCACTGGATGCCCCTTTAGACATTTAGAGTTAAAAATATTCTTTTTTGTGTGTCCCCTTGAACCCATGGATATCTCTAGTCTTTACTTAGTTTTTTTACCTAGGTTACACGTCATGACCACTTTTCCAAATATTTTCATCCTTTGCAAATGCATATTATCTTTATTTTACTTTTTTCATACCACTTTGTTTTCAGACTTAAACAAGCATACAAAAGATTTTATGGAGTCCATGTGTCCCTGAACTCACCTTTGTTGAGTTGTTAATCATTCACATCCAAAAAGAAAACACTTTCAAAAACTTTTTAAGGCTTTCAAAAAACAACAGAAACAAAGTTTCTTTTTGATTTTCACAGATTTCCTGGCAGAGCAGTAGTGGGAGGAGCTTCCACCTCTTTAAACAGCCAGGCTCAATCAGAGAAATACTTTATAGGATGCAAACTTTCTAAATAGTACAAAATAAACATAGCTGTATTAGGAAAGTTAATCTATTTTAGTACCCTAATTTATTAAGGTAAACACAATAAATACAAATAATTAAAGACTAATTCTGTTAAATCTTTATTTCTCATTATTTTGTTGACAGAACACAAAATTTAACATTAGAAATAACATTAGTTACATTACACTTTAAGAAACATTATTAGTATAGAAATGTTGGCTAAATAAAAGTATGTATGATCCCTGCTTGGACGCTTTTATTTTTAAAAAGTAATTTTAATTTAACAAATAAGGAAAATAAAAACCAATTGTCTAAAGATATTTAGTGTGATTTTCTACAAAAATATTGGATAAATCAGGGTTTCTTTAATACTAAAATAAACAGTGAATGTCTTCTTTCTTATTATTGATGTCACTTTTGACAAGGCAGAAAGTTCGATGAAAAATAAAGAGGCAGGCAAAGAAATAAAAACCTAATGTCCCTTTTCCTAATCTGGAGGGTATTTTTAATGTTTAAAATGAGTTTTATACACAAGCCATAAAACACATGAAGCCATGGGACAGCTGGTTAGCATTCCTCTGCCAACATATTTCAACAATGTGTTGGTGTTTGGGCCTGCAGCAGGCCTGAAGACGGTCTCTGGCTTTGTGTAAATTTGTGCCACTTCATCCTTACTCTGTTTTCAGGAACCTCTTGCACTAGATGGAAACTGTGCTCACAAAGGCAGAGTGTATTTATATAGAAGCAGAGGGTTGTTTCCGTAAGGGCATATTTGGGTTTTCTTTTAGCTCCAGACACTCTGACTGGAAGTGTTTGGGATCATACAGCATATTTTATCAGCTCGCACTGAAAATGACCTTTAAAGAGATGAAGGGTGAGGTTTCTCCTACAAAAACAGGATATTTAAGTCTCACTTAACCTTTATGCCATAGATACATTGTGTAGGTAATGGTGTTTATCTGTTATTATAAATTAAATATATAAGGACAGAAAAAAAAGCTTTTCTCATCCTGTAAGCTGAAAAAGAAACTAACAAAACAAACCTAGAGAATCTGTTGTATTAAATGATATATTATCTATTCATTAATCTTGTGTCCCTCCAAGTATACGAGTTGGTTTTCTTTGCAAATACAAGATCGGTTTTGGACATCAGGTATGGCCAACTCTGGATTTTTTTGCTCATATAAGTCTGGGTTGGTATCATTTTTATTAGTTATTGAAGATGTGGAAGGTTTTCCAGTCCACTTGTGCTTTGTATGGTGGCCCACAGGTGCAGACCCTTAGTAAACAGTGAGACAAACTAAAAAAACATGTACTGTAAGCACAAAAAAGAGCAGCCACAAAAAAACAGCTGCAATCAAAAACAAAATGCCGTGATCACGCAGAGTAAAAGTTGCAAATAGTAAAAATAGCTGCAAACTTGCTCTTAAAAAAACAGAAATGCTCCGAACTACTAGAGGAATGATCGCAGCATTTTAAGTTTTCTTTGCAGCATTTCTTGTTTGCATTTTGTGTGTGTGTGTTTGCAGCTCACATTGCTGTCTGCTGCACATTTTTACCTCTTTGCAGGTCATTTATTTTTCTTTTCTTTTTTGTAGCTTTTATTTAAAATTTGCATTATTATTATTTTTGTTTTTGTGCCTGCATGTTTAGGAGTTTGCATCTCACAGGTTTTTGCAGGTTATTGTGTTGTGTTTGCACCCGTGCTTTCTGTCCAATCCTTGTATACCCAAAGCAGGAGATGCTTTAGCATTCCACAGCACACAGGTTGGACTCTGCCTGGCTGATCCTCGTCACTGAGTTTGTTTGTGGTTTTCAGAGCATTGATTGTCTCATCTTTGTGTCTGAGTAGATTTTTTCGAGCAATAAACAGCAGGATGCACTGGGGACGTTCAGAGCACACATACTTTACTCATTTAAGCTCTTAATTCTCATTTCCTCCAAGTTGGTTGTTACCAATTTCAGCCAAAGAAGTTAAAGTATTTTTGACTCTTTTCTTGATTTATGGTAGGATGGAGCAGGATTTGGTGAACGTTTGTGCTGAAAAAAAGGAACCAACTAGCTTCTCAGATAGTGGATGATTGAAAACACAAATGTTTTACTGTATCTGAGGTCTTCGTGGTTGAATGTTAGAGTTTTGTAAAACTGCTCGAGCAGCAAATCTTCAGAGCAATAAATAAGGAGTTTTCAATCATTGGCTGCAATATCTAGCTTTATAATAATAATGATAACATTATGGTTTCAAGCTACAAAATAAAGTAATGGGCTACACGCCAAACTCCACTACTTCCTGAACTTCAGCCAGCTGCTTTACTTCCTGTCTTTCATTATTGGACAAACTGATTACTCTGGCCAATGTCGTCATGGTTACTGAGGTCAGCCCATTTTTAACCTGGAAAAAATATATTTTTACTTTTGCAGGGTTAGGTAAGTTTACTTGCATTAGACCAGCATTAGTTTTTGTGAATGAAAGAAAAACGCTTTTATGCTTTTGTACATAAAAGGTTATTGACCTCTGGTCTCTACATATTACACGATTTTTGCAGCACATGTGAAGTTTTGCTGCACTTCACTTAACTTCATCGGCAGCTGTTGTCCAGCAAGGTAGCAGGTGGCTCCTCTCAAATTCTCATCTGTGGGAAATGTGCATCTTTTATTTTAAGCAGGTAATAGATTTAGATTTATGGAAAATTAACCTGAAGTTAACAGTTTTTTACTTTAACACAATACAAACACAGAATCCCAGCATTTAATGCAACAAGCTGATAAAGGAGGATTCTTCTGCTCTGAAAACTTGAACTTCTGAAAATGATTTTACAGAGAGGGACTTTTCATTAAATCAAGATAATTATGGACAATCTGGAGTATCCTCTTCATCAGACTGTTTTAAAACAACAAATTGTGAACAGAGCCATTGTGAACAACAGGAAAGACTTCCTGCTTTCAGCCACCAGGATCTACTACAATTCATTGAAAAATATATATTATATGAGTCATAATGTCAAATTTCATTTTTGGATTATGATTTTAAGTCCATGCATGACACACACATTACATTTTGTTGTTTTAACATTTTGAGATTTGAGATGTAAAGGCCTTTATTTTGAAAGTCAGAGGGAGAATAGCAGCATCCCACTGCTGCAGGCTTGACAGCAGGAGTCAGCTGTGGGTTACTGATTTCTCTGCTCACTCAGCTCAGAGGAAGCGACCAGTGTGGATACAGGACATCACCTCGTGGGCTTTTCCACCTCTATTCTGCAGCCTTTTTAGAGTTTAAAAATGATTCCAGCTCTTTTCATTAGGAGGAAACCCTCTGAAATTGAGCTCAAATGAAGTGACTTTTGCCTGAATTTCTTGTTATGACAGCTGACTGGTTTGTGTCTACTTGAGGACTGATCATGAGAAGTTTGCTGCTCCTCACGTTTTTTCTCTGGATGTGTCCACTCAAGGTGAGTCTTCTATCAGTAAAGGTCATGTTGGGAGATTTTATCCACTTAGGAAGCTATATTAGACTTTTAGAGGCCAAATAGGGAGGATGAACAGATGTTCATCCTCATTATTTACTGACATAAATAAAATGCCACAGTTTTATGAAAATGTTTACTCTGATTTATAATATTCCTTTTACTTATTTCACAGTGCTTTGAGAAAAGAGTAAAACTAAAACCTATTTTATATCCAAAATTCACTTATTGTGGGACACTTTAACATTGGTCTATGGGGAAATGGTCAGAGGTAATAATGTTATCACATAATAAATCTACTTGTCATTTTACAATATTCTAGCTGAAGCAAAACATCCATCAGTTTCAGCAAAGGAAATGTTTATATTGTTACTTTCTGGCAAAAAAAGTTTTTAATATAAATATTTTACTTTTGGTTCTGTATGTTATGGAAACATTTGAAAGTTATTTATCGTGTATATTAAGTAAATATTTAAAATTGACATGCAACCACAATTTTGTTCTTCTGATTTGAAATTCAAAATCTAATAAAACTTTAATGGTTTAAAAAAAAAGAATCAAACTATGAAGCATTATTTCTTCATAGAAATAATAATAAAAAAAAATAAAGCAAAATGTTGTTTTGGATGTGGACCTTTTTTCATCAGCGCAATTAAAGTCAGTAAAAAATGAATAGGATTTTTTGTCTTTTCATTCAGGCACAAATCTCAAATCTGGTTTCCTTTAAATGAAAAGAAAACTTCCTCAGAGCTGTGGATTGAGGTTTCCTTCCACAGCTGTCTTTCAGCCATGGATGGTTTTAAAATGATCTTAAATACTATAGTTGGAAAAGAGGTTTTCACACATTAAAGAGCCAGTTTTATGAGACAAAGGTGCCAAATAATATTAAAGCTGAGAGGATTAAACCTGTTTTCTTAGTAACACTACTGCATCCAGAGGTTTGACAAAATTAGTGAAAGAAAATCTTATTTGGGAGCCTCTGCAAGCAGTCATTGTCTTACCAACAACAAGTGGCTAAAATTAGATTTACTCTTTCAGTCTTTTTTGCTTATATCATCGTTTCATTTGAATTATAAAACTTCCTCCATCTAAATCTTCAAAATAATCCATGTGACAGATTTGAACTTCAATACTAACAGACTATGAGTCTAACAGTTAAAAAACACTGAGACCATTTTAGGTAAAACCAAAATATAAACAAATTTTCTTAAACCTTAGTGAGTCAGATTTTTACCATTAGGAATAAAAACATAGGACAGCCTGACTAAGAGCAGTTTTTCAAAAATGGCACCCTGTAGTCTACTAATTAAGCACTTTTACATTTAAGGAACAATATCATATTGATTAAAGTAAATAGTTTTGGGTGTAAGAAGATCTTTATGCAGCAATTCAACCCAAATGAAAATACAACATATTTGTATTCATTTTGCAGCAAATTTTGTTTCTAAAACAGTGATAGACACTCAGTCCTCTCATTTTTAAAGCAAAGCTGATTAGAAAAGTTTCTTTTTTTTAATTTTCTAGCTTACAATCTAATCATAAAATGCTAAGCTGCTGAAAAACTATGAAAACTAATTGCATCTTTTTCAATTACAGCAGGCACTGGTGATTTTTAACTGCTGGAGCAGAAGCGTCTGAGTGTTGATTAATGAAGCTTATTTGTAGAATTAACCTCATAGTGTTTGACCGTTCATGACCAAGGCCTCCTCCAGCTATTACTGCAGTTTTATTGTTTTTTTTTCTTTTGTCTGTCATAAATTATCAGCCCTGTCTCAGTGCTTATTCGCCTCACAGGACAAACAGTGGAAGCAGTCTCTGTATCTGCCTTCCGGGGTCGTCGCTTTAAATGCAAGCTAGGGTGTAAAATGTGCTTGTCACCCCAAACAAATGTGTTTTTAACCGCGTAAAGCCATGCATGCTGCCACCTCCAATGCAGACAGGAATGGCAGCTGAAGCAAAAACCAATCTGAGGTTCATCTTCTGACTTGCTGAAATATTATTTCATTCAATTAGTGACTAATCTGGATTCATTTTTTATTATGCTTAAGGGCACAAAGATCAAACTCAATCATTTAGCAGTTTTAAGTTAAGCCGTTGGCTTTTAACTCAGAGTTTAAGCACTATTACTCCCTTAGTTTCAAACTGCACCGATACAATGCACAGTAAGTGGAATTAGGTCTGATGTATTTTCTCTCCATATAAATCCACGACTATTTCAGCATGACGAAAATAAAACAGCATCTACAAGACACTACAGGCAGCAACTCTTGTAACATTTCAACTAAAATGAAATATAAAATTTTTAAAAATAAAAATGAGACAGAATAACTGGTCCAGTTTAGACGTCCTTTCCTCAGATAATTAAAGTTATGCCAGTAGTATGATGAAGGGCATATTGCACAGTTGCACAGGGGTAAAGTGCAAAACACAGGTTCAGTCCTGCACACAATACCCATGGGTGGAAGTTTCAGCCTGTTGACCTTTTGCTGCATCTCTTCATCGTCTCCCTTAATCACATTTCCATTTAGAATACTTTCAAATTAAGGCATACAAAACAAGGCCTAACAAAAATAATAAGAATAACATGGGGAATATTGGCAGTTCCCCACCACATTTCAAGGGGCACAGATCCAGGGAAACACCTTAGTTTGTCATTTCTGTTGGCCAGCACTTGTACAACCTGTAGTATGAGCGCTGATGTTTTTAAGCACCTGTAGGCAAAAAGCCGTTTCCATCCAATGGAAATGCAGATTTTAAGCTAACTTTTAAACGTTCCATAAAAAGGAAGAGAACATTTGTGGTGGTTTCATTTGATTTAAAGGGAATTTACCAAGCACTGCAAAGCGTTATGTCATCGGACATTGTTCACATTACGCCGACACGTATGGCTGTAACAATCAGGAGGTGGAAGCTGCTATCTAGCACTGATTACAGATCAGTAGTGGAGGAAAGTTTTGAAGAATGTGTTGCTATTGGAAAAGTTGTTCATATGTTACCATGTCAGGTATTAACGGCAATGTTGCTTCTGGCCATGTATACGTCAATAATAGGAACATTTGAGAAAACGTGGACAGCAGAAACAACTGATCATTCATGTGAGGTAAAAGTTTTTGACGTCAGAGCTGATCCAAAAGTACCCTCAAGCGAGCATACAAAGTTTTTTTGCAAATTTGGAGGAGGTTTTTCTCAAGCTTTTCTGATGTGATATTTTAAAATGTGCATTATAAAAAGCTGATGGAAAATTCATCCAAAGATTCTTAAATAAGTTTGGGAACATTTTTATAAAAGCCAAGCAAATGTCTGGTTTCCTCTGATTCAAGCCAGTTTTGTGATTGCCATGCCCAATGTCTAAGAATTTGCACAATGATTAAGAATTAGTGAATTAGTGAGCCACCGAACCAAAGTGCCACTGTGATTGTTTTAAATCCCTGCTTAGGATAAACCATTATGGTAAAAAAAATAAAATAAAATCTATTAAACAATCAATTGGACCAATCAGTGGTATTTCCTCTGCCAGAACATATAAGAAATATATTTAGTACAATCTCTTTAGCACAGGAACAATATCAGAGGCAAGGATGTGTTCTACGGTGGGTCCCAGTCCCGGTGTAGAACTGATCATGGTGATAAAAGGACAACAGCAAATACAAGCTTTGGCATCTAAGGAGGAAGGTTTCCACATTTAGTCTGCACCTAAAAGAGGTAAAAATGCTCAGTCTGCCACAGGATGTTTCAGTCTAACTCATTAGATGCTGAACGTTTTGAGATCTGAAGATTTAAGGTAATTATACACAGCCATAAATGCATGTTGACATACACTGTGTCTGATACATATAACTTCCTGTGTGACATCGAACAGACTGATTCTTTTCCTGTGTAACTTCCTAGGATTCCTCCTCCACTCCATTTCAGTTTTACAAATTCTGGGAATTAAAAATAAATCTGTAAGGAAAATAAAGTTTCTAGATCACAGATTGGAAGTAAAGATAAGATCAGATGAGGAAGGTGCAGGCTTTCTCTCAGAGTGACAGATTTTGCCATAAAACTACTACAGTACATACCTCAGATATTAACTTTGAGATATTGTAAATAAATGTCTTCATTCCACAGCAATTAGAGAAGGAATTCCAGAAGAGAGAGCCTGGGCTCTACTTCTTGGGCCTTAGTAGTCTAATGTCTTCATGACTGCCGTTTCTGATGCCATATGAGAGAAGATGAGATTTGTTCACCTGTCAGATCAGTACCTGGAAAACTGATGCGTTGCTTTCTTTCAGCAGCCTGTTCTTTATTGCTATTTTATTGGATCAGCCCCAAATGTCAAATATTTTCTTAGATAAAACTCTTAAAAGTCACTGTTTTTTGCTCTGTTTGTTTTTTTAATAGGATTTTAAAACTGAAACTGTCTGAAATTTTCACCAGTCTATTTAAAACTCTAAAGGTGGATCTGGCTAAGGACTTTATAACTCGGAAAGAATGTCAAATATATGATTTATTTATTTATTTATTTTTACCATTGTTTAACATTTCCTTGTTTTTTTTTGTTTTGTTTTTTTAACCAAGTAAACAATTTTAGATGCTATTCTAAATACACTTACACAATCTAGGAAATTAGCAACAATTTTACAAAAATATGAATATGAAATATGTATTATATAAAGATGCTAAATTAAACATAATATTGTTTTGCCAGCTGTTCTAATCTTAAAGTACAAGTAAAACCACATGTTTTCACTGAGGCCATTATTTTTAATGTCTGCGAATAAATGTGCCTAAATTATTGCTGTTTGTTTAGGAATTAGGATTACAAAAATACTTTTCATTTCTCAAATTCTAGAATAATTAGATAAACAGATTATCATTTTAATATGTTCTTCAAAGTCATATATGTACATGCTATGAACCTTTCAATAATCTTGGATCCCTAGATAATAAGGTCCTGGTTTAGTGAACTTCTTATTGGTAAATTCACAAAGCTACCGGTAAGT